TTCCTAATCCTCCTTCTCTTACTACTTCTCCTCCTCTTACTAAAACTCATTCTCTTACTTCTTCTCCTCCTCCTCCTCCTCTTCCTAATCCTCCTTCTCTTACTACTTCTCCTCCTCTTACTAAACCTCATTCTCTTACTTCTTCTCTTCTCTTCCTCCTCCTCCTCTTCCTAATCCTCATTCTCTTACTACTTCTTCTCCTCCTCTTCCTAATCTCCTTCTCTTACTACTTCTCCTCCTCTTACTAAACCTCATTCTCTTACTTCTTCTTCTCCTCCTCCTCCTCCTTTTCCTAATCCTCCTTCTCTTACTACTTCTCCTCCTCTTACTAAACTTCATTCTCTTACTACTTCTCCTCCTCTTACTAAAACTCATTCTCTTACTTCTTCTCCTCCTCCTCTTCCTAATCCTCCTTCTCCTCCTCTTACTAAACCTCATTCTCTTACTTCTTCTCCTCCTCCTCTTCCTAATCCTCCTTCTCTTACTACTTCTCCTCCTCTTACTAAACCTCATTCTCTTACTACTTCTCCTCCTCCTCCTCCTCCTCCTCTTACTAATCCTTCAACATTGTCATCTTTTTCTTCTCCTCCTCTTCCTCCCTTCCTTCTCCCTTCTCCTTCTCCTCCACCGTCAACTACTTCTGCTTATCCTCCTTCTTCTTTTTGTTCCTCTTGACTATTAATGTGGTTTTGTGTGTGTGTGGTTTTGCACTAATGTTATGTCAAAGAATGTAAGAATAAAACCTTGCTTTGTTAGAATGTTCCTAATAACAGAAAAAATGATATCTGTTTTGCATTTATTTGCACAAAGAGTTGCGATTAGTCCTTTATATTTTATCTATTAGATCATCTATACTTTTTTACATTGAAATATGTCATGTGTCACGAAATATGTCACGAAAAATTTAACACTATAAGTGAACTGTAATATAAAGTCGCTATATAACGCTATATGAAAGCTAACCTTTAAAACTTTGCAAAAACACTCTGCACTGGTATTTCCTTCAGTACGTTTTTCAGTATTCTGACGGCAGTAATTTACTTTAGTAATTCTGCACAACTATCTGCTCTTTCATCGCATGAACAGCACTAATGTCTCCTGACTGCCAGTGGTCTATCAGGTCATATTTGTTATGAAACACTGCATCAGTTTGGCCCCTGTAATGACTTGCTTTGTGAATACGGTAAGACTGTGATACATGAACGCATTACAAGTGTCGTTCACAAAAGAGGACGAGAACCAAAGGCTTTCACTTGCCTTTCTTTCACAACGTCCCTTACATTATCCAGGACACGGCTCTACAAGGTCACAGTGTCCAGATTGAACATGAATAGGTTTGGTGAGTTTGAATGGAGTCTGTCACCAATGACAAAGATTTATTATCTGCCCTCTCAACGATAACTGCTTCCTTGACCGTTTCCTATTCGTATGACAAATTTCAACTCTTTCCTACTGAAATAAGAGCAGCATCTGTCTCTATTTGACCCAGTTTCCTTAGTTCACATTCTTGGCACCATTTTATCTCTGAAATAACCTGAGACTTTCCCATGACCACGAGGTCCCTGTTAAGAATGTTTAGCTGGAGAATATACTGGGCATGCAATGTTGTAGCGAAAAGGTTTGTCATATCTGTGTCTTGTAGAGGGAGATGCTTCTGGATCTCCAGCCCCTGAAGCAGAGGCATCTGGGAGCCAGGATAAACAGGGGACAGAGGGACCGTCATAAAGATGAAGAATGACCCGGAGGAGAGAGGAAAGCTGGGGGAGTTCTTTCCTTTTCTCATCAAAATTCTCCTCATCTTTGCTCATCAGGCAGCAGTGAAGAGCTCCTCTCATAGACTGCCATTAAGGTGGACGTCCACCCATTGCATGCTGTTGAGTGCCTAAGAGAGAGATGGAGAAGACACTGCCTTTGCAAATACCACTAAATGGGACGAATCTGTCACGGACTGTATTCATTCACAGCGCTGAGTGAGGGAAGTTTGTTTTTTCTAACAGAGGTCGAACAGAAGCACAGGTGTTTTGATATTTTTCCATCCTAAACTTAAACTAAACAGTTCAATCTCGTGTTGAGTTACTGTTAAAACAAATACTCAGAGCTACTCTAAACTATAAAGTACCAAATATAGCCTTTTTGTTACAGCCTATGACATGGATGGCTAAGTTAAATTATTATTTTTTTAAACAATGACCACTACAGTTGAAGGTGGTCTGACTATAGAACAGAATTCCCAAATATTGCCTGAGGTCAGAAGAGGTTTGTTTCTATACTTCATTATACTGTAACATAATTAACAATATTTATGTAGTATCTGAGTTACTGCTTTCTGCTCCTGGCACTGTTTTGTGGTTTTTGTCAGACTCTCAGAAACACTCGTTGAAACACATTGCATTTATATTGTGACCTATAAATGTAAGTACCTTAAAATAAACAGGAATGACATTCAGTGTCTTTATTGATTTTTTTAAAAGTTGGGTTTGGATGTATTTGAAGGAAAAGTGTAATTTATGAAAATGATTATACAAGTAAGGGATAGTGTACAATCATTACGTCATTATACTCCCCAAATATGTGGACATGAAATTGAAATGGTTGAATAGTTGAAATTACACTTTAACGTGTAATCTTATGTTTCCACTAAGAAAAATAATCCATCAAGGGCCCGTTTACACAGTTGACTATTGCTCCATTGTTTTTCTGTGTAAACATGCACTTAGTAGATGGGTGTGTAAAAACGTTTTAGAACGTAATTTAATTCGTGAGATGATGCAAAGGAGAACGGAACGGTCGAAGAGGTCTAGCGCATGCTAACAATTGAAAAACTGAAAAGCAGCGGAGGGGAATGCGATCTATGTGAACTCAAAATGTACAAAACAGGTGGCTTAGTAAAAAGACGAACACTACATCAATTACAATAACATTTTTGATAAAGTCCTCATATATATATATATATTTTTTTTTTTTTTTACTACAATTAATAATTGAGACGCAAGATGGCGCCAGTTGCGTTTGTATGAAACGAGAGACTAATTTCAGACATTAATGCCACTATATTCAGTTAGGCTATGCGAATCAGCGGACTGATATAAACCGTGAACAAAAGAGAATTCGTAAACATCAGGCCACAGAGTGCCACGATTTACCAACTGAAACGCTATAATTAAAACATTAAAAGCATTTTTTTTTTGTCATAAACGGGACAAGAATCACACAACCATTCAGATGCAAAAGTATTTGTATTGATAGTTTACACGGTGACAAGCTCTCAGTCCCTTCCTTCCCACATCATTTATAGTCCGTATATTTTCCTATGCAGTTCAAACTATACAACACAAAATGTAAAACCTGACAATTATTTTTCACTAGGCTGATTAACTCCAAACCTGAGTTATATAAACCGTCTTTTGGTAAATGCTCTCTGGTGTTAGAACTAATTTAAAGGGGTTTTGCACAGCATTTCATCATCAAACATCTAATAATAACTTTAATATTAATAATCAACGCTTACCCAAAGGTTTGTATACAATATACATTTGATGAGCACCAGACATAAGATCATATTCTGGTTTAATGTTTTGGATTTATACATTATTGCCATTGTAAATTTTCGGAATAAAGCTGAGGTACTATTTAATTTAATTCTCACAGTACCTTTCAAATGTTATACAGATTAACATGCTTCATATAAAGATTTTTTTCTTTATTACATTATGGTCATATTCTGTGCATATATTGAGAAGAGCATAAAGTATAGTGACTAAGACTTGAGTAAATATGAAATAAGACTAATATTTCATGTTTAGGCTACAGGTATTACAATACTTGTAAAAATGTCCATGTAGATGAAAGGCAACAGCATTTGGTCAAAACCAGTATGCTGTAACGGTGGTTAAATGACATATGTAACATTTATTTTAACGAACAGCATGTTAACTTCTAAAGTTGAAAGTTGGAGGTTTTTATGTGTGGTCTTTATTGTTTTTGTGTAAAAATTTCGCTGAGAAATGTGTATGAGTTCTCCAGTTTCAAGGAATCAGGATCCACAATCGTGTGAGAAGGCAAATGTCCTGAAAGGCTCTGCTCGCTGCAAACTTGTTTATAACAGTACTGAGCTCAAAATCCTGTTTTTTTCAGCATGCCATAGGCCTCATAGAGTTGTTCAAGAAGCTCCTCTTTCTCCTTCGCAGGAAGAAAGCAGGACTTAGCTGCATTTATATTCTGTGAAAACAGAAACAGACAGGATAATTCAAGTCACTTTTGCCATGACCAGAGTCCATTAGAGAGCCTGTTTTGGCAAAATGTGTCTCACCAGTCTCTTGAACTCCTCTTCAGTGAAATCCATGTATTTCTGCACCACCTGGTAGTCGGAGTTCAAGGTGGAGTTGAATATGGTAGGGTCATCTGTATTTAAGGAGTAGTTAGCTTTGTCCTTCTTGAATCTGAAACACACAACAAGACTTTTCAAACTCAAACTAGTTAACTCTGGATCATTTTAAGCCCCGGGTAAACAGAATCCTGGGTTAAACTGATTCACATTCCCTTTGATTTTGGCCACCTTTGCCACCTATACTGCCAAAATGGCAAGAAACATTGCACAAGTTTGGCAACGTAAAAGAGGCAGTAACCCGGCACGAATCCCGCTTCTAAATTACAAATGTGGGGAACGCCACTCTCGTGTACACGCATACGACAATTAGCAGAAGCAAAAGATTACAGTTTATAAAGCTTTAAATATGGATATTTTTCTTACAAATATGCATCGATTCACTTCAGGAGGCATTTATTAACCCCCCGGAGCTGTGTGGAGCACTTTTTATGATGGATGGATGCACTTTATTGGACTTCTATTGGCCGTTCACTGCCATTATGAAGCTTGGAGGAGCCAGGATATGTTTTAATATAACTCCGGTTGTGTTCATATACACCTAGGATGGCTTAATGGTGAGAATTAAATCAAGGGGTAATTTTCATTTTTGGGTGAACTATCCCTTTAAGTGCAGTATGAAAAGCCCAAGGTAAATTGTACATTTTAATTCTATAATGCTGTATTTCTAAGTGAAACATGATAGGCATTGAGGAAGAATGCACAGTAGTACTTTATTTTATCCTTCACAAATGAATTAGATGGTGAAAAGCAACAGAAGTCAGATTGAATGGAAGTTTGCTAAAGCAGTGCTAAAATAGCTATTTGGCTGTTTGTTAACATTATTAGCTAATAGCCTAACTGATGTTAATGGAAAAGTGGAATAACAGACACCATTAAATTGTAAGTAATTCACAGTAAGACCTGGAACATGCATTAAAAAAAAAAAGTAAATAAAGCTATTCTCACGTGATGAGAGGATGTTTAGTGAAGTCTGGGTCAGAGGCTCCTGTCAGTCTGCTGGAGACAGGACACATCTAGAGAAAGACAACACACAGTGACACTAAACATTGTGTAGATTAATAACCTCCTTTAAACATCTCATAAATATTCTGGTAGCGAAAATATAAATATTAGTAAACTGAGAGACTGTCCAGTGACACATTTATAAACACAGATGTTTAAAACTGTCCACCAGAGGGCAGCATGGAATTATGTTTCAGGAAATCTTCCACTCGGTGTTTCTCAGTCCTGTTTCTGTCTCATCAAAACAAAATTGTATGTGTCTCATTAATCTGACACACCCAGTTCAGGGAGCCGTTCTTCGTACGTTGCTTATTACTTCCGAGATGAAATGTCACATCCAAGATGATATCATCGCGCTAATCAGGATCTGGCTAATTCGGTTCTTCGAACGCACCTGTTGTTGATGATTAGTATGGCTGGATTGAGTTATCTGAGATAATTGCGCGTTCATGGGTTGGTTT